TGATTTGAGCACTCACAAGCAGCAGCGTGAGACGGAGAAGAAAAAGATGAGCAGCGAGAATGCCAAAGCTGGCTTCTGAGTTGTTGTCAAGCTTTGTCGACTTCAAAAGATTTTAGAGTTGTAGCCTCAAAGCTGAGGCCATGGAGAAACACAAACAAGATGCTGCGAGCATCCAAAAGCTTCAGAATGACCTGGTTGCTCAGAAGCAGCAGTGTGAGACAGAGAAGAAGAAGATCAGCGGTGATGGGGCAAAAGTGGCCGCCGAGTGCCAAGCCAGAAGCAAATCAGCTGAAGCGGAGCGCCTTGCTTGCAGCCACTAGCTTCAGGCCAAGAGCTGAAAGCTCGACGGTTGACTTGTTATTAACACTTTTGCTGTTATTACGATTGTTATGAATGATTCGACTACTATTATTATTATTATTCGGAGTCAGGGTAAGGTCTTGTACTGAATCTTGCAGTGCTAGTACCGTGCTAGAATCACCGCTCTTCACGGGAGGCGAGTGTCAGCTTGCGCACGGTAAGCACTAGAAGTTACATCATAGGGTTTAGGGTTTGGGGTTTAGGGTGGGACGGTGGAATGACATTCTGATGCTTTGGGGGTTTCACAAATGTGGGTGCCCAGAATAAGGATTCCAGAGAATTGGGTTATAAGAGAGCTCCGCTGGTTTATGGAAACCACCGATTGCACTGAAACTAATTCAGGCCAGATGGCGTATTGGAGCCCAGCCCACATGTAGTGCACAGCATGTGGAACCACGACCTTTTGCAGCACGTTCATTGACATAGCGGATTTCCGTTTATTCTTGCCATCAATGTTACATAAAAATCTGTGTGTGACGTGCGCAGTTTAATCATAATTATTACCTGAATGCCAAAAGTACGTACAATAATGTCATTTTGGCCGGTGTTTTTGGCTGTTGTTTTTCCTACTTTTGGGGCCCAGGTAATGTTCTTCTGAGGCTGCAAAAGATGCCAGTTTAATCATACGTGACGGTTAAACCCTGAACCCTAAACCCTAAACCCTAACTCACCTTTTAATGTTCTTCTGAGGCTGCAAAAGATGCCAGTTTAATCATACATGACGGTTAAACCCTGAACCCTAAACCCTAAACCCTAACTCCCCTTTTAATGTTCCCCTAAGGGTCCAAGTACCTAATAATCATATACTTACCCAAAACCTGTACTATAATTACTATTACCCAAAACCCAAGTACCTAATTATTGGGTACTTGGACCCTCTGGGTTCTTCTGAGGCTGCAAAAGATACAAGCTGACATGAAGAAGAGGTGGCCTGATTGGCAGGGATCACAAGAATGGCTTAACGAAGTCCGGAAGGGCAACTTCTTGGGTGGTTTTAGGGTTTTGACGGTTTTAGGGTTTAGGGGTTTTAGGGTTCTGGGTTTCTAGGGTTTAGGAATTTTAGGGTTTTGGGTTTAGGATTTGGGAGTTTTAAGGTCTAGGGGTTTGGGGCTTAGGGTTGTTCTCAAAATTATGGGCCCTTGTTGGTATGAATTATATTACGACACATGACATTTATCGGTACCAAAGTGGGACTACCCTGCCTGCAGATTCATGTGCCCTCCAAGCCCGAACCCATGATTCCTGGAGCCTACTGATTCTCAACAAGGGTGGTTTCTAGGTTCCCCTTTTATATACCCAAAATCGTACAATCAAACGGGCTGCCTTACTTTCAGACATCCTAAACTCCAACTCGCCCCCAAAATCCCTCCATAAGCCCCGAAGAACGATGTAGAGTAATCCCCCTAATAATCCCCATGTAGTCTTATGGTTCCAAAAAACCCCAAGTTTTGAAGAACCACCCTAAGCCTACAGTCCCCCTTAAGTAGATGGAATATGGCTTTGGGTATATTACAAAAAGATCCCCATATACCCCGTATTCTATCTACTTAAGGGGGAACTATAAACCCTCAACCTCTTACATATCCAGGCAGGCGGAGAAGGAGCTTTGCGGAGCAATGAACCGGACTTCAGATGAGCTGCAGAAACTTGATGCAATGAGAGTTTACTAAGGGGTTTAGGGCTTGGTTAAACTGAAAGGCACTTCTCCACCAACATGAAAAAACAACAATGGTAATAATCATAATAGCAACACCAGCAATACTACCAATAGTAGCAATAATGAATTCCTTTGGTCCGTCCTTAAGCATCTACTACAGCCCAATGTACCCAGACTCTCTCATGTAGTTCCTTTTTGGGTAGGTATATTATAATTCTTCACAAGATCACCATAACAAACCCCAAAAGGAACTACATCGGAACCCATGGATATTCATGAACCCTAAACCCTACTTAAGCGGACCGTTGGGATTAGGTTAGATGTCCGATCCCTATGAGAACCCATCGGCCTCTACCAGCCGAGCGGCAACCCTTCATATGCAGTTTAGGGTTTAGGGCTTCCCCAATGAGTTGGCAATCCCTTACTACGAAGTACAGGCACAGCTTCAGAACCCTGAGCTAGAAACCATGAACCTCGATGGAAGAAATCTTACACTGCCTCCCTTTCCCCTGTGGGAGTTGCAGTAATTCCTGGGCGGGTTAGGCAGTGCAGATTTCCCCCATCCACAGTTTCGGAAGGAAAGAGCTGAAGACACTTCTGCAAATGGGACCTGCTGGACGTTGAGAGCCCTCAAGGTCGGGGTCGCCAAAGGAGATTCTCTGCGTCAGAAGGTTTCATAGGTTTCCCTTTTAGTTGAACATGTGTACTTGGGGATCCGTTTTTATATAGGTCAAGTGCGATTGCACAATGATTTTATGGCGGCTCTAGGGTTACTAAACTGAGGGAGTAAGGAGAAGAGCGCCTACCTGGTGACCTGTCAGGTAGCCTTGATCTGCAGTATGTGCGAGGCTACATTCCAGGTGTAAAAGCAGACCGCATACCACTTAAGTCAGTGGTGGAGTTATGGGTGATGTCTTGGTTCCTAAGCAGTGGAGGAGTTGGCTGCAAGAGTTTGTGATCAAGTGCAGGTGGTCTACGTACTGCAAGAGCCATCAAAGTTTCCTCGCAAAGCCCCCCCCCCCTTCCCTACTACAAACATATCAGACCCTGACCACTTGGGTTCAAGGTGTGCCAAAGATGCGCAGAGGGGGCTGCTGGTGGGCATAGCAAGCTGAGAGCGGGAGCCGGCTGCCTAGTCCCTGAACTCGCTTGATGGCGAGGTAGCAGTGGGGTAGATGTGGCTATGTCTCTTAATGAACCTGAGCAGTGATTGAGTTCCCAACTAGCGGGAGATGGTGCTTCAGCATTTCATTGGCAAATTGAACACATATGGATGCCTTGAGAATTGAAGAAGACTTCTGTTGCCCGAAGACATAGCCAGCTCCTGATGTGTTGAATGAATTGTGCTCACGCGCCAACGCACGCCAATGTTCTCCGAAACAGTCCTTGCGCCTGATGGGTTTGCCCCGAAAGGTTTGTTCAGGACCATTCTTGTAAAGCTGGACCACTTAGTGTTGTTGGGTCTGATACCTATAGGTATTCGCTGTGCCCCTGCTTGCCCCTCAAAGCCAGAGAAACCCAGTCGCAGGTCAGAATCAGGTCAGTACCAGTATTTCACGAAAATGACATTATGTATGTATGTATGTATGTATGTATGTATGTATGGAGAGGGGGGAGGGAGGGCTAGATGGATGGATGAATGGATGGATGGATGGATGGATGGATGGGTGGATGGATGGATGGGTGGATGGATGGATGGGTGCATGGGTGGATGGGTGCATGGGTGGATGGGTGCATGTGTGGATGGATGGACGGATGGATCGATGGATGGATTTGTGTGTGTGTGTGTCTGCATGCACGCATGTGCATATGCGCATGTGTTGTTTTGACATGTCCATGTATGTGTGCGTCTATGTGCATGTCTATGTACATGCGTGTGTCTATACTTGTGCGTGTACATTCGCGATAGCAGACCATAGGATGTGACAATAGGTTTGGTGCCTCCCACCCAATTCCTGTACTTTGTGCCCTTGCATTGCTGTGGGCTTTCAATTCAGATCAAGTTCGTAATATAGCTGTAGCCCCCAGTGCCCAAGCCAACACCAGCGAGAAAATGGTCGAGCAAAACAAGTCCTTCACCCAAAAATCCTGGAGCACTGACAGGGGCCGCCGTTGTAATGCAGAGGCCAACAGCGGCAGTGACGAAAGTTCCTAACGCTAAATTAGTGACGCTACCACTGCAGATCATGTGAGCTTTGCAAGCCAAAACCTCCACCTCATCTTGGTCATCCCTTTGAAAATGGTAAGATATGGTAAGATGTTTGACAACAGTGCAGCTATGAGGTCTCGCAGCGCGCCCTCAACTTTAATGGGTCTGCTGCCCTCATTCAGATTTGTATCTATAGGTACCACTATACGTGAACGGTCCTTTCCTTCACACCCCCATCGCGAGGAATCTACGTTTGCCTACTGCCTAGAATCCCCGGAGGGGAGCGATATCAGATTTTGAGAATTTCGTGCACGAGGGAAACCTAGGGAAGAGTAAAGATCACGGGGTCCCCTAGTGTTCTAAGAAGCTGGCACATCATCCTTGAAATTCGGTCTCCCGAATTCCGCTGAGCGCTGTCGACTTGCCGCAGCTTTGGCTGTCTGGGTAACCTCAGCCCATGAGAGAATTTGATGTACCTTGAAGTTGGCACGCCAATGCGTGGGTTAGTCCAGAAGGAGCAGTCAGGTATGGTAGTAGTATTGCTGCTTCCTCAATCCACATCCGCATTGAAACAAAGACTAGCCTGGCTGATTCTCTGAAAGCGGGAACTTGCAGGCAGAGATGTGGGAGCAACAGGAGCTACTAGTACAAGTATATATCATGTTCGATTTGTACAATGCCCGTGTCATACAAACAGGTCCTCTGCGGATTAAACATTGCGTATCGAACAGTCTTTGTAGGGGCCTCATAAATCGTCCTTCAAAAGCCCTCCACTAGAAGCCGCACACCAAACCCTATAGACCCCTGTGCACAACGAACCTAACACCCAAACCTCTCTTTCTTGGTCCTTTTCTGGTCTTGACTGACTTACTCGTGGCTAGTAGGGAATCAAGGAACATAATCCTTATACATAATCCCTTTGTCATGTCTTCCCTTATTCCCTACCACAACCCAGATGTATACCCCATTATAATGTAGTAGTTTCCATTTTCTTTTATCCCTGACCATAGCCGCAATATGTTCCTTACCAACCCCTAAACCCTAAACCACATATGTATCCCTACTAACCCCCAGTAAGTTTAGGCCCTTTAACCTGCGGTCATGGCCGGCTCTCGGGGGATTACCGCCGAAAGGCAGACAGGTCCAAGGACCCGCAGCAGCAGCCGGAGACGGAAGATAAAGGCCTAAACTTACTGGGGGTTAGTAGGGAATAAGGGATTCAGTTATAAAGGAAATATATAGGGGTTCTATTACAAAGGAATTATGTATGGGATTATATAAATTCTTTATTCCGTACTAACCACCAGTAAGTCAAGCTGTGTTCGGTTTAGAAGTTTCGGAAGTATGTAAATTTGCTATTTGCCGTTGAATTGGGGATTGTAAGGGGTGTATGTCTGTGTTGCATTTTGGACGTCGTGTTCCGTTTGCCCTTCCAGATACGAAGGAAAACACAGGAAAAGGGTGCCAGAAGCCCATTTTGGCCTTGCCAGCCCCTTAGGCCTTACCAGTGGTTGAGTCTGGGAGCTTCAGGCAGGTTTGTTGCTGTACCCCTGAAAGGCGGAGCTAGAAGCACGCGGCCGCAACTCGCAAGAAGTATGGGAGCTGCAGCAAGAACTCCTTGTGGGAGGTGCAAGCAAAGCTCTCATGGAAGCCGCGCGACAGTTACTGCAGGCGGAGCACTACCAGGCTGTTGCCAGGTTGGCATTCAGAAATTTGCATGGTTCTTCGATTGGCTTACAGGAAACCCTAATCAAAATCCCCCTCTCTATACATACATACTAACTACCACACCACACCAACACCGCTGCCGTCGTCGGCGCCACCACCGCCACCACCCTTCTACCGCTGCCACCAACACCAGCAGCCTCGTCATCGTCATCATCATCATCATCATCATCATCATCATCGGCAAAGACCAATTCAGGTTGTGGAGGAGCGGTCGTTGGATGGGCTCTGCGGATACCCTCCTTGCAAGAAGCCCACCCAAGCTGTGCCTGATCAAAAGCGCTGGTCGGTCAATTACTCTGCCAGGGAGGTGATCAGTGCCGAAGAGGTTGGAAATTCCCAATATACTGTAGTAGTTTCCATTTTCTTTTCGATTATCCCAAATATACTCCCAATCTACTATAATAGTTTCCATTTCCTTTAGCTTTATATAACCCCAATATTTCTTGAAACAGGGTTCTGCAGCATCAGCAACCAAATATATTTGGGGGCATCGTAAGGGGACCCCGGCTTTCAAACGATTCCAGGTCAGGAAGTACTGCAGCCAAGAGTGCAGACTGCAGAGCTGTAGATTCTGCACAAGCTTACAGCCTGATCCAGTGTACATCCGTCCTGATTCTGCTGTGGTTCGCTCTCAAGAGGCCATTACTGCCAGCAAGGCTCCGCAGCAGAAAGCTGCGGAGCAAGAGGAAAGACCTCATGCGGTTGCTGAACTTCCCAAGGAGCCTAAGGTCGACAAGGCGGCGGAAGATCGTCCGCTCCCCAAGGTGCGACCTCGGGCTGTGGTGCGTTTCTCTCGGAACCAGCAAGTTTACACCGTCCATTACCACGAGTACGATGGCGGTGGTGCGCTACCTGACGTGGCGCCCATCAAGGATGAGCCGCGTGCCTCACAAAGTCGGGGCGGTCGGCTCTTGGGATCCCTGGTGCGGGAAAGACCTGGTGCCGAGGAGGGTTCCGACAAGAAGGCTGCAGCAAGAGCAGATACTCCGGCGAGCCCTCAGGAGGAATTTCAGTGTTGTTGTTCCCACCTCTAGTCACATGCTTCTGTCCTCATGATGACTTGCATTCTTCCGCCTGTATGATTATTGAGAAGTCCTTGCAGGACGCACCGGCTTCCGCGGACAGCGAGGACGAGGCCGAGGCTTTGGGTTACAGCGACCTTGCCTCAGCTGGGGAGGAGTGCCGTAGACTGAGTAGGGTCCTGCCTGTGTTTGCTGGGGGTTTAAGGGTTTAGGGTTTAGGGAAGGAGAAGTCTACCAGAACTAATGTTGAAACAAACCGCCATATCCAAAGTTGAGTTAAGCCAAGACTTGTTGATTTTGGTCAAGGAATGCTCTGGCAAAAGGACGATGTGACGACATCATTCAGGGTGTGCTTGCGCTTAAGACTATTCCACACGGACTGGATTGTGCAGGCAATTGCTGTGATTCCGCTAGCAATTGAGACACTTCCCTCAGAAGAAAAAATCACATCCCCGGCCGAAGTGAGGCATTCTGGTTCCCAGTGTTTCTGAAAATAGGAGTATTCAATTTTCTCAAGTGAACTGCGTTTTTTTTAGTAAGGGATATGATGGAACTGGTTCTATAAGATTGCTTGCGTAGCCTCTGGCCTGCATGGCGTAGTTGCGGCGTGGTTTCGCGTAGTCACGTAGAATAGT